CATTATACTTGGCCTTCATTCAATATGTAAAATGTACACATGTTTAGTGAGAGAGGAATGCTTGACTACTAGGGGTATGCATCTCTCCCTTATAAGACGATTCGATATGAATCTAGATACATGGGCTATGATACGATTCTAAGAAGATACAATTTAAGATTAAATGATTCAATGCGTTTTGGTAGGATTCGATGTTTCGATACAATGCGATGCAGGATGATACAGATCTTAATATTTGCTTAACACAGACATTCCATTCCACTCCATTATGAATTAAAACAAACCAATTTTATAAAAGCTAACTGATGGAAAAAAGGAAGACAATTAATTTCAGAACTATGTCTATTCTGTCCTCACGATTGCGTTTCTGAGCAAGGCTAGACAGATAGCGAACAAAAACTCCAATAAAACCGTTCTCTTGAACAGAGTGGCTTTAGTGATGGTCGTTTCTATAAAACTGAAAATACAGTACAAATATTGTGTCAATATACTGCACATGTAAAGCATACACACATGAAATGAAACTGTAAATAGTTAAATGTATGATGTAATAGCTTGAGAAGAAAATATGAATTAAACTACTTTTTAAATCCTTATGAATTGTAACCCCATGTATTCACATGTAACATTGCTGTATAACATTCTTACACACATTTATTCAGCAGCTAAACAACTCTGGAAAGTGTCAGTACTCTGTAATACACATACAACATGACACAGTGCTTCAATGTTAGCTATTTAGCAGTTAGCAAAACAGATCTCCGTGTTTACTCACAACTGGAGGCTTAATGTAATCTTCATAAACAGAAATATCTCTTCATAAAAATACATTCAAACAATATATGACATGTTACTTACGGACATATCCGTACAACTCCAAGGTATAAACGTACGGAGATGACTGTGCTGCATGCACACCGCACTCTGCTCTTGGTGTAAATGAAACGAAACTGAGGATGAAAATGAAACTTAAGAAAACACAAGCGATACACAAAGTGTCCACCAGGGCGGTGGAAAAATGCCAGTAAGGCTGGTTATACAGGAATCAGAATAATGTCTTTGTGTTTATTTCATCACAGGTCTTATAGCCAGATGAAGTAACATAACAATAACATATAAGCCACATTTCAATGAAAACAGGATACAATAAAGTAGCAAACTATTACCACAAGGCTCAGCTGTGAAAAAAAAATAAGTCAATTTTTAAAGTGCAACTCTGCTGCTAACCATTCTGAATCTGAATGCAAAATCATTAGCTTTGTGAGCACTGCAAAACCACTAAGAACACTGAAAACACAACTGTCACATCATCAGCCCACACTTCAGTTACTCTTCTGTAAGACAAAATAGTCAATCATGGATGCAGCTTGCACTCACACAAGCCTATTTTCATTATTTACACAACTGTTACCAGCAGTTATAGTAGGCTCAGCTGTAAAAAATAAATGAAGATAATAAAATAGATTTTTAGAGTGCAACTCTGCCATTCACCAGTCTGTATCTAAATGCAAAATTACTAGTTCTGAACATTGCACAGCCAATAAGATAACTGAAAACAGAACAATCACATCATCACCCTCACACTTTAGTTACTCTTCTGTGAGACAAAATACTTATTGTGCTGAAACAATATCCCCTGCAGTGCTGAAAACTCTTTCTGAAGCCACACTGGTGGCTGGTATACAGAGGTATTTTTTTTGCAAGAGATGACAGCAGCGGTAGGTCTGCCTGTGCTTTCCACCATTGTAGTGGGTTGTCATTCAAGGGCAAAGGATTCCGCTCTCTGTACCTCATGACTTCCTCATTGGCCTTCTCTCTTGAAGGTCTTGCTTCTCCAAACAGCTGGTCCAGTGCTGCCCTTTTCGGTCAGGACGGAGGACGGTCATCACCTGAAGAAACAATTACTTTGTATGACTGGTGTGGCATGACTCATCTTAAAAGCTTTTCTTCTTGCACCTTAATATTATATATAAATCCTATTCTGCAAGGCCTCACAGTGTAAAAAACACACCTTATGGCTCATCCTGGATCTGGGGACTAACTGTGCTGTTGTTGGCATCTCCGTCAGCAGGGTCTCTTTCAGCTGCCCCTGTCTGCATCAGACTTCTCTGAACTGGATGTCCCTGACTGGTGCTATCCACAGTTTTCTGGTAATAATCAGTGCATAAAATCACATAAAAATATGTTTAACAAAGTTAATTTACTGAAAGGTTAGATTAACTAGTAAAATTGTGTAGTACAGTTAAATGTATTGATATTTGTACATTAAAATGACCAATCTAGCCATTGTTGGAAAGCACTTTAATAATCTATTTTATGTTGAGTGAATGATATTTGTTGGGTAGTTACCTTGTTAGTCAGGGCAGCAGCTTCAGCTGACATACTGATGAATATCCTCTCAGCCTCATGGTCACTCAGGAATGGCAAGGATTTGAAGCGAGGGTCTAGAGCAGATGCCGTATGGAGGAGGTCATGGGACTGAGTGTACCGGTTCTTAAAATCATTGTTAAATACCCTCTTCATCTCAGCAATAAGCACAGTGCCTTCCTCAGATGTCTCAAATTGTTTTTGAAGTTTTGCTTTGAGTGGGGCAATCATTGAGATTGTGGGCTGCTCATCATCACACATGATAGTAGTCAAAACTTTGACAGGTGCCATCACTTAGACTATGTCCTCGGCGTTGCAGATATCATTCTCATTTAAGAGTGTTTACCTCCTCCCCTTTTCTGAGCTCCCTTGACATGAGTGTGGCTAAAACAGCTGGTTGCTGCTCCAAAAAGCGTTCCAACATGTCATAGGAGCTGTTCCATCGAGTGGACACATCTTGAATGAGCTTATGGGAAGGCAAAGCCAGTTGCTGCTGTTTTTCTCGAAGGATTTCAGCTCCCCCTATGTTGCCATGCAAAAATCCAACTACCTTCCTCACTCTTCCCAGCAACCTTGCAGCAGTGTCCACTTGAAAGGCTTTCTGTGAGGCTAGATTTAGGGTGTGAGCAAAGCACCCTAGGTGGGGGGCCATCTCTGCTTCTACTCCAGCTACAATCATATTTCTGGCATTGTCAGTTACAAGGGCTGGGTTCTTAGTCAGCAATGTTCCAGTCGGCACAAGCCTCTTTCAATAAAGCGCCCAAGTTTTTCCCAGTGTGTGACTGATTAAACACTCTTGTTTGTAAGACGTGACTCTTCAACTCCCAGTCCGGAGAGATATGGTGCACAGTGATCATCACATAAGAATTAGTTGCCAAAGATGTCCACGCATCGGTTGTTATTGCCACTCGTTCAACATTACACAGTTCTTTTTTAACCTCCTGCTTTACTTTGTTGTACAACTCCAGCACACATTTGTGAAAAGCTGTCTGCTAGGTATCTTGTACCTTGGCTCTAACGTGTGTATCATGTCACGAAACCCATCACTCTCCACGACACTGTATGGTCTTAAGTCCTTAGTGATAAAACAGGCTATAGAAGCCGTGATTACCTTGGACCTCGCTGAATTGTGGCTGGAGTTTTGGCTGGAAAAAGTGTTGAATGTCCGAGCCACTTTCTTGCTTTTCGTTGCATGTGCTAGCTATGCTAGCTGTTTTAGCTCCCATGGGTTCGTCTCCCCCCACATATTGTCCTCCATGTCGTCTCACCAGGTGAGTGTTCAGATTTGTTGTACTGACGCTATACTTGATAGCAACTCGGCACAACTTACAAATAGCCAGAGTTTTATCTAGTTTCCCATCCTCCTTGTAAAATCCAAACGACTTCCACAGTCTGGATTTCAAGTTTGATGGCGCATTGAAAATGTCGTCAGTGTGCCGGTGGACATGTTGATTTGTTTATGTTACATCTTGCGCGCTAACTTTACTCTCGTAATCTCGCGAGAAAGGTCAATGCGAGAGAGATTTCACATCGCCTGAGAGACACTGTAGAAATGCAGCGGCTCAGCTTCTGTCAACCGATTTTTAATTTAATAATCGATCTATTGACCGGTTGATGGTACATTTAGATCGACCCAGGGTTCCATATATCGATGTACTCGCGTCTGTAACATTTAAATCGGATTCCGATGTATATCGGTGAATCTTTACACCACCATTGACTACAATTAAAGTATTTTATTTGATGGGATACTTTCAGATATTTGTAATGTGTTTATCGCGAAGGTTTATACAACGATAATGATTAAATTGAGCAGCCTTAGTCGGAATTCAAAAAGAAAAGCTTCAATCAAATCAGCATAACACAAAAAAAATGTATGCTGTGGTTATTTTTTTGACCCTTTCAATGTTTATGGTCATTTGTTTCCTGCAACCATTCAGTGCGGCTGCCACTGCTGCCTCAAGCTTTTAATCTCCACCCTCAACTGTCTGTCTTTTTTACCTTAAAGTGTGAGACTCTCCTGTGATCCCTCAGTATCTAGGGCGTAGACCAGCTTTCCCACACACACTTCTCCACCTCTGCTGCCTGCTCAGTAGACTTAAGCATTTTCCTTTCACAATCTTCATCTTCTAAATCCTCCCATGGGAGTGTAAACACCAAAATTTGCTGCTGTGTGCCTGACCGCAACATCACGTCTGGTCTGACTTCGTGCCTACAGTCTCCTGTGGGATTATTCAATGCCTTGTATGGCTGCTATACAGTTTATTTGCTCCTAACAGCGGTTGGGTTTGCTCTTCTTCCATATGGACGAAACAGATTTCAATTTTTTATGTAAGACTTAAGTTGCAATTATTAACAGATTTTCAAAACTGTAAACTTTTCTACAAGTACTTTTTTTTTTATTCCTGTCTCTTCCTCATTCCACGGAACAAGCAACTGTCAAGGAAAACCAACTGTTCATAGTTTATCCTCATGGGAATAGTATCGCCTTGGATCTTGGCATGTCTAGAGTTTACGGTCTTTGTTGTGTTACAGTTTTAGTGTCATGATGGATCACAAAGTGTGATTCAGGACTGTAAACATTCACTTTGCAGATATGTAAACCCTGCATTGTTTCTTTTCTTCACTAACAGGTGAGCTGTGACTGCCCCCTTCCTTGTCTCTCCGTGCACCTGCATGAACCGTGGGCAGCTCGACCTGTCGCAGAGACTGTGCTGCACTAGGAGAACCCATGGCTTCTGGCCCTCAGTCTTCCTCTCTAGACCACAGGCTCAGGCTGCTTGAGTTGCTACTTGGGCCTCTGTTGGTCTTGTTGATTTCTGGGCTGGTACCAGCACAAGGACAGAAAGTCTACACCAACGCATGGGCTGTCCACATACCTGGAGGTCAGGAGGAAGCTGATCGTATTGCCAGTAAACATGGGTTCATCAACTTTGGACATGTAAGTAGAGGCTGCATTTTTACTTAGTTTTTTACCCTGTAATTGGGTAGGTATGCTGCGTAGTGCTTTGATTTAATCAAAAATACAGTAGTACAAGGGCCACCTGTGAATGTACACCCAACAGTTTGACTAAGCAAATACAGTATAGGAGTTGTCTGCTTCCTGTAAGCTTGCAGACAGATCATCTTGTTGCTATGTAAACAAGGTTCCTTTGTTTTTTGTTGGTCTGTTAGACTAACTAAAGTGAAAACAATTAATCAGGCTGTAATATTGAACGTGTGACTATAAGTGGCACCCAGGTACAAAACAGCTCATCAGTGCTTCACTGTCAGAAAAGGAGTACACTCATTCAGTGGTGTTGCATTCTTGTTCTCTGGCTGCAGTGTCGCAACAATCTGGATACTTCTATTCAATTGATAAACACATTCACAAACATTCCTTTCACCACAAAATGTTTTCACTCCTGGTTGTGTGTGTTGTTTAACCGATTATGAAAATAGTCAAAGTCACATTCCAGTGCCGGGAATGGTGTGATTACTGAGACATGCACTGGTTAGACGAGGCCACGAACTTTCCTCAAACATGTACAGTGCTTAAAGTGTTGACATGCAAAATGAATTATGTTGATCAACCAACTAAATAATAGACAAAACACAGAATGTATGGTATGATCTGTGTGTATGTGAGAGTAAGAATTTTCACGCTGGACATTCGCTCGCTCATTTATGCTGAAATATATTTAAAATGAAACATCAGGGGCCGTATTCATAAAGCTGTACAACGAGTTGCTCCTAGTGACAGAATTCTACGAAAATCCCTAGAACCATGACAGATTCTAACTTAAAGATAGGACTAGATCAAATAGCAGTATGTTAAAATAAAAATGTTTTTCACTAACCAGCCTAGGAAGTTTGGACAATGATGTTGAATTGATCCAAAACAGTTCCCATTTGCTTCTTTTACTTAATAAAGTTTTGAATTATTAAGATCTTATTATGCCCACAGCTCTTCAGGAGCAATAGATGTGAAACTAAAAACATTTCCTGTGTTAATTAGTTTATCTATTTTAAAGACTTCCTGTTTGACAAAAGCTACACATCATAGGACCTTACCATTTCACAGAAAACAATGAAATGCTTGTTTAACTAATCAAGTCTTAAGGATTTGTCTCTTTTTTCATCTGAATAGATTTCTTCAGCTTGTGTTCCCTTGGCAACTTTATAAAAACATCTTTTAGTGTTCACCAGTCACTTTATTCTAAAATGATGGGTACAGTGAACTTTACTGCTATAACTATATGTGTTTTTGGCTTTAATCCAAAAGCAAAGGCTAATATGTCTTTAATGTTTTAAATTTGGACGTATGTATTTTGAACTAACACTGCAGATTCTCCTTTTGACCACAAACTCTTTAAAAGAATGCTTCGAGTATCTTAACATGCGTGTTCGATTGACCTTATTGTACTGGACAAATGGGGAAAGGGAGATGTTGATGATGTTGAATGTCAAATTAAAACATTTAAAGTGCTTGATAATCAACAACATCTTTATGGTCATCTGTTCCTACTAACTTCAATGAAGACATGTAACCACACAGTAGAACTATAATTTTCTGATTGCACAATGTACTTTAAGACCTTTAATTACAGAAATTGTGACTTCGGAGTAACTGTTCAGTGTATAACCGGAGTATGAGAATGGTTTTCTTGAGCATTTTTTACGACTCTGAAAGTGGACATCAAAGCCTATGAGACACCCAGTGGCCATGCAGATGTTCAATACCATAGTCTCAACTCTCAAAGAGCTGTGTTCTGTTTGCTCCATATGGTCTTCCTGGTTATCACCAGGAATGTAATTTGTGCTCTGACTCAGAATACAGACAAATGAATAATCCTACACACAGAAATCCTTTAAGTATGTGTTGTCTGTGGAGAGCAAGGAACCCAGACGAAGCAATGACACCCATGTGGTTGTAAAACTGCATCCTGGAGGGGAGGTGCTGGTTTGGTCTGTTCCAGCAACTTGCTTTCAAATTTACGATTTGTGGTATGGAAATTTGACTTTTGTCGTATGTGATCTGAGCAAGTTTGACAAACCACCCTTGACAGCATTGAAAGTGGTAAAATTGTATTACAGGGGCTTTCATAATGAAGCAGTCTTAATGAAGTCAGCTGGATAAAAAGCAGAGAGAAGCTTTGAGCTTGCTAGAATCTGAATCTTGGGTTAAAGCAGATGTTCAAGGTTAAGACCAAAATGGTTATTCTTCTTATTAAACCAGCTTCACACGTCAGATTCTTGATCTGGCATACGTTTCTTGCTTGTGAAAGAACCAGGTTCAGACCACCCACAGTAAGGGGTGGAGCAGGAAAGCCACATCCGACCCGTGGGTGTTTGGCTGAAATAACTGTATACCGTTGTGTGCTATCAAGGAATCCAATCAGTATCATGAGACATGCCTGCATCTTGTTGTGTTTGTGCACTTAATTCATCTGCTTGAGACTTTTGTTGTGTTTAAGTACATAACTTTAGATAAATGATGATCATCAGTCAACCTTCTTTTATTGTTTTGGCTTTAATTAGTGAACTTCAAAGCTGCAAGGTTGACGATTGGTTTGTTGATTAAGTGACAGCAATTTTCATTTCGGTTTTTCAATTTAAATCATTTTCTTAAAAAAAAAAAAAAAAAACATGTTCTGTGGTTTCTGGGTCTTAAAAGTGAACATCTTGTAATTTCTTTATAGAATAAAACAAACCCTGGTTTCATGATGTGAAACATTCAAAGATATCACCTTGGACATTTGGAAACAGTATTGCGCATTTGTCAGTTTTCTGACTGTTCCTTTATTCATTATTTCAGGGAAGAATCAATTAAGTAACCATCATTCAGTTAACAACCTGTGACACTGCAGCTCTGGATGCAGGAGGCTCTCTGTTGGACTCACTCAGTGTGAGATGTAGCAACATGACATCAGCAACATAAACCTTCCAGTAAATGATATGAAACAGTCACATCTGTTAAGTCCAGGGCCTGTTTTTGATGCTTTTGATAATATACTTCTCATTGATTAAAAGTCATTATGTCAAAGCTGGTAACAAACAAATATGCCATTCTGTTTTCTTTTGCCTTTGCTTTTGGGAAATGCACAGTGCTCTGTGTGAGTCATGTGTGGTTAGGCATGTTGAATGTGTGTGTGTGTGTGTGTGTGTGTGTGTGTTTCCAGGTGTTTGAGTTAGGCAGGAGGGCTTGAGGGAATGATCAAAGACTGCAGCTGGGCAGGTTTTACTGCTCTTGTGAGGTTTCTTTTAGAAATTCTCATTGTCCTCACACCATGGCTTCTTTACATACTTTACTCTAACATCCAACATTCAAGTCCCTCCCAATCCACTCTGACCCTGTATTTCAGCATGCCTATGAACCCCAAACCAAGCCCAGCTCCAAACAGGCTGTTTCTGTGTCTGTAGCTTTTAATGCAAATGAGCTATGACTGACCACGCCCCCTCTCTGGAAGGGCTTAGGTGGCTCGGGCTTTCTCGCTCCGTGCCCTATTGTTTAAAGTGAGAAGGCAGACTCTGAGGGCAGGACAAACACCTAGCTGTGGGAGTGTCACCCACCTGGGTTACCTCCCTTTGTGATGTGGGGAAAATCACCAAATGAACTTCTTAAGCACACATTTTCTGAAAAGTGTAGCAGGCAAAATGAAGATGGTGGATTATTCTCATAATTGGGATAATAATAATAATTTGCATAATATGTGACCTTTTTAAGATATTTTTTTTCACATGCAGATTGGCAGTGAAATGCAATTTAAAAACGTATATTTTTTCTCTTGGATCAACACGTCATTCACAAAATTATGAAGAAATCCCTTCCAGCAAATGGGATGTGAACTAATTTCTTTAGGTCTATGAAGTATACATGATCTTTAATAAATAAAAGTGATAATTCAAGTGCCCTCATTTCTTTTTGGTTTATTGAAGGGTGAAAATGTGGCCTTACATGAAAAAACAAATGTGTTGCTTGGGACTCATAACTAACCTGGGGGACCTAAAGCCGCCCCTTCATAAAGCCAGCAGTTGGGTCGGTTGGGCTGTAAATTTTGGCCTTTTATTTTTTTTTGAGCGAATGGCTGTTATCCCTCAGGGTTGTTTTCTGTTTGATTTGGCTTGTTTGGGTTGCGTTACCTTTCTGACTAGCTGTTGATCTTTGGACGTTAGTCATGTTCAACATTTTGCTCTTCTTATTTATAGTCTTCAATTTACGGGACACTTCATTCGCAGAAGTACTGCCTGTGGAAAGATTTTAAAAGTCAAGTCAGATTCACTGTTACATGAAAATATTTGACTATTTTGTGTCTTTCGCTTTTCCATGGTGTTTTTTTAGGATTAACAGCTCAGACGACTGGCTTGTCAAACGGCTGGCTGATTTGATGCATCTGTCTGTCTTTGTTGATGCTTTTCTTTAAGGTCTGGTTGGTGTGTCGAGGGGCCAAAAGTCACCTGAAGTCTATTTCTCATTCTGTCACTTCTAATCAGTCAAGGCAATGTGACAGAGGAGTTGGTCTTTTGCCAGGGAGGAAACTTTAAGGCCATGTTGTCTGGCAGCAACAAATCATTTCAAACCCTCATGGACTCAGTGAGCGGCAGCTGTATCTGCTGAGGTTTACCTCCACTTTGCTTTGTCTCTTACTTATATATATATTTTCTATCCTCCTTATTTCTAAAGGAGCTGAGATAGATAACACCTGCAAAGAATATGAATATTAATGTGCCTGAAATGAAGCAAATCTGTTCTAAAAGTAAAAGGTTGCTGTGACCAAACGATGTGCAATTGGATTACACCCCTCACTGTGCCTCCACTTCTACATTATGGGGCCATTTAAGAACAAGGAGAATAATTAAAACTAAGTTAAAGTCATAAAATTAAGAAACAGCTGACTCACACAGTCGTAAATGGGCATTAACTGTGAACTTACATCTCCTGATGGTTATTTTACATTTTAA